CGAGCCGTTGATTTTTAAAAAATTCTAATCGGCAAAACTCCATTTAAACACGTGTTAAATCACTCGAATTTCAAAAATTTATATCTCAAGTTCAAAACGGTCAATTGCAAACGGAAAAGGCTAATTTTGTTGCTAATTTTTCAAACTATTCACCATAAAATTTTTAACGAAAACTGTCGAAAAAAAATTCTACGCGACAACAACCTTAAGTTAAAGTTTCAATTGTAATTCTCCAACAGAGTAAATGTTCTTTGTAAAAAGAATTTTTCTCAGAGAATGTGCATATTGAGGCACAGAGGGATAATCCTATCCACCTTATTTCCAGGTGGAATCGTCGACAATCATTGATCTGAAACGTCTGCAACCGCAGGATTGGAATTGTAGCTATCGGGATCGATAGCCAATCGGGTGAAGAAGTTGAAGGGATTGTCGAAGGCATCACGTACTGACCTGCATCAAGTATCCGATCAGAGTCAATTATGGGATAATGGAATTTGGGAAATGCTCACTCGTCAATGATTTCATGATGGAGATTGATCAGTGCGGTTTGTGTCACCAGATGAACGAGTGATGGTGAAAATATTTGGGATCGACAGGGTCATCCGTTTATTGAACAATCAAGTACCTCAAGATCCATTGGACTTCAACCGCAATCTAATTCCATCAGCGAAGCAACTTTACGTAGTCTCAATCTGACCGGTTATCGACACGTGTCAGATAAAACGTAATTGGCAAAAAATACCACCTCGCAGAAGGAAACATAAATATATATATATATATATATCTATATATATATATATTTATTTTTTTGTTTTTTCTCCAAGTGTAGTGAGACAAAGAGGTCGTAAAAGCCAGGAATTGCTGAGCTCAGATGGATAAAGTATGAGAAGGGGCTATACACTTACTGGCTGAGGAATATCTCGGGGGCCAGAGGGAAAAGTAAGTACGGAGTTAGGGAGAAAGAGGGGGTTTATGGTAGCGGGGGAAGTTGAAAATATTGGAGAAAAAAGGGGGACATTATTTACTGGGAGAATATTGTTTGGGGCTCCATTTAGAAATTATTGGTTGGGAGCATAAGCGTTGGCATTCAGAGAATGCGGAAGGAAAGCTGGTAGGGATATAGTTGGGATGGTAACTTGAGAAGCCGGTCTTTCCTTTCAATATACTCTGGAAATATACCAAATGATCCTGACAGTTCATTTCTAGACGCTAACGTCCGCGAATTCTCCGAGTCCTTGAATTCTTCAAAACATTTATGCACTGTTGACAATCTAGGGATATTTTTTTCAAAATCATTTCAATTTTTTACTGTCGGAGTCTAAATTATATTTTTATTGTAAACGGTTACTTCATTTATCATTTGTCTTGAATTTTTAATAGTTTGATAATTTTGGGAGAGTATTTGAAAAATTTAATGATTCGTCAATCAAGATTATTTTAAGCGCTTTTAATTGGAATTTTGAGAGGAATTTTCCAAGAGTTTAGGTGAACCTCATGGATTTTTTTTTTTTCAATTTGCTATGGCAAATAAAAGATTTTACAAACACCTGTTTCATTTTACCTGATAATTCGGTCGTAACAGAAAATTCCGACTAAGAGTAACCCATGCAGATTTTCTTTTACAATATTGCGAAAACTGCGCTTGAATAATTATTCAGCATTTTACGACTTTTTTTCTCGCAAATGCTTGCCCGACAAATAGCGCTCTAAATTGACGAGAAAATTTTACATAATTTTCGCAAAATTGTAAAGAAACCATTCCCAAGGGTCACATTTAGCGATCATTCTCTCGGTTATGCACCCAAATTAGTATGGGAAAACAACACGTGTTTAACCAATAACATACAACAAAATAAGTGCAGGGAAATAATTCGCTACGACTGAAAGTAGCTCAACAAAAAATTAATTCCACGATTTCCGTAACTCCCTGTCTTATTATACATTCTTTATTATTAAGCTGAAAATCGGCGAAACCTCTCGCTTATTTCCCCAATCGCCACTGAATTATTTTGATTTTTCCCAGTCAGAGGAACTAATTTGTGCATTTATCGGATTGCATATAATCAATTAACGACGAAATGATCAATAAATCACTGATTGTGGTACACCGGTCTCGCAGAAGCCTAATCAGTAATGGTAGAAATGCTAAACGTCCAATTGATTGTTTTATGCAATGATGACTGTGTACAAAGCACTGGATAATCACCACCCGATAGGGGGTGGTAAATGAGTCAGGGCCTAAATGACTCCTTCAATTGTACTTTTTATCTTTCACGAATGTGCGCAGATATTGAGAGCCTCATCAGGATATCGAGCTTGTCGCATACCAATTTAATCCCCACCACGACCATCGCACGAGAATAGAATATAGATTGCTCGATTAACTTCAACAATGAACCCCAGACTGCATTGTGCACCAGAGGATGCAAAGTGCTGGATGGACAACGGTAGCACGAGCCATAATGATGTTTTTGTGATGACATGTTGATTGAACCGCGTGACAAACAAATTGTGATAGCGTGTACTTTTAATGTACCTCTTCTAAGAAAAATATCCATCGAACAATCGATATTCTCAACAAAATAAAGAATTTCGTAAGATATTTCTCCAAAATCCAATTTTCTATTTCCCCTATTTGCCCTATTTCCCCTTTTTCCCCCATTTCCCAAATTTACTCATACGAATTATTCATTCAATAATAATCTCATAATTCAATGAGTCCATTAACAATATTTCCAAAGATATATATATTAATTAGTATTAATTGAAATTTTCAATCATATAAAATATCAATTTTTTAATATAATATTCTTTACACATGTATGTAAAAATGAGGGCTTTTAGTTATTACATATAGACATTAAAAATCGAATATTTATGTTTATATTTTTATCCCTGATTCGATAATAATAATTCATAATGCCAATAATACCGCGATATCCTCATTCCGTTACTCTCGACTGTATTTCGTGTGCAACAACCACCAGAAAGTGTACATATACACTTGAACTATTGCGAAGATAGTTATCACCGTTGAAGATTTATCGTCCTCTCCTACTAGTGCTTCAGAGCAAGTGTGTGTACCTATTGGAGTGAGTGTTGTTTACAGCGGCAGCTTTTCACTCTGACGTCTCAGCTATTATGACGCCATGTTGGTAAGATTTCATCAGAGGTATAATTTAGCGAGAGGAAGTGATTGATTTCTTTCGCACGTGCTATTCCATCGTATTATCGACTGGCACCAGATTATTCACCGATTGGTCGATTGGTTCACTCGATTCACTCATAACCGATGCGATAATAAAATTCACAACCTAAAAATTGTCCAGTTGACGTGTCAGTACTCCGACGTCATCAGCATTACGTTAATTACTTGATTATCCAGGTACTCTGTTATTAAGTTTCATTTGTGCTCCCGGTAGTGAATGAAATGACAAATGAGATTCTATTGTCAGGTGTACATCACTGTTTTTTTCTGTACGTGTACTGATGATTTTCGATGAGAATACGTGTCAAGGAGTTTGATAATGTCGATGTGTCATCATGAGGGACTGATGAATCAATCAATTGATCAGGGACGTGGTGGTGTTGAAGGGAGGCATCATCGAAACAGCGAATGGAACAACTTGGCGATTACGTGTGTATTGTGTTAATCCGAGAATAATAAAAGTTGGTGAAGCAACAGCCGTTACTTCTTGGTGAAGAAAGAACTCGACGAAAAATGATTTTTTTATTACTGGACTAGTTTGTCAATTTTTAGACTTCTTCAAGCAATCAACACTTGGAAAGTTTTTCGAGACAGTTTCTATGGTAATTATTCGATAACTTTCAATCAACATTCAATAATTTTCTCTTTTTATGTAGATAATAAATTTTTTCTAGCCCAGGTTGTTATTCATTTAGGAGAGACTCCCCCAAGAAGCGACTGGATAAAGATTAATGGGGAGAGAGAAGTAGTGGATATATACCGAGGCGGACACCAGTGAGGATGAAAGGAAACGCCAAGCGGGAAATTGTCCCCTTGGAATTGTTGGCCATCCAGGGAGCAATCAACGTCGTGGCAGAACCGCTCACCAAGATAGTCACTCTTTCAGCAAAACTATAGCCATAGTCCTCTCGACGCAGCCATTTCCGTCCTGAGGTTTGTGTTGAAAGCAAAATGTTGGAAAAATATCGTGAAAGATTCTCACGCGTCTGAAAGGTAAATTCCAGTTGGTTGAATTGTATACGCGTTACACTGGTGCTGTGTGTCTCACTTTGGTGAAGTAGCAGGTTTGATTGTCCCATGTTATCTGCCCCCTTGGACACGCTCTCTCCTGTACCCAGGCTAAATGCCCGACATACCGGGCTCTCGCATCGTGTGATCGTTTAAGACTATTGACTTTCCAACATACGTGTCGACAATCTTGTTATCCTTTGTTTTCAGCATCATCTTTCCTCGAATTAATAGTCATTCCTATTTTGTCGAGCTACACAATTTCACTGCGATTATTATGCGCTTCCAACTCGAGCTCTCATTAATAGAGAGAGAACGTTTATTTTTTCATTATTAATATTCTAGTAATTGTTGCAAAAACATCAATTTTTGTACCAATTTTTTCTCACAAGTTCTTCAGAATACTCAGAAACTTGTGGGGAAATACATTCTTTGAATTTACGAACTAAATTAAAATGTTATGCAATTATTTAAAAATCATTTTCAATTTTGATTCTAATGTTTGTTATGAGAATAATCGACAGTGTCAAATTTTTATGATCAATAATTTATGACTCCGGTTATTCTAAATGTGCAAGACTGTGGGGAAATTACTCTCGAAGTGTCACGTAAAAAGAACATTAAATTTTTAACAACCCTCAATTTATATAAAATTTATCCTCTTATTTTCCCAGAAAATGGTGCATGTCCGAGTATTCAATGAAACTCTAATTCTCCGGTTCACACGACCCCGAAAATGGAGAAAAATACAAAAATTCTAGGTCATTATTTCCCTGGATTCCCACCTCATAGAAAAAAAAACGAGAATTTAATCACGCGTCTGATTAAATCATATCCAAAACATACTAAATTCAATTGATAAATCTCTTACTCTTCTGGAAGTTCGAAATAAAAAAGAGATTAATAATCATCTGATTAATCACTTGATTTTCCCACTCATTTAAAATAAACTTGTAAATGTTTTTTCCAGGGAAGAAATGCCTCTCACTAGACAATAGAACTGAATTCCTCACTGTTATGAATAATGGAAAATCTGAGATTGGAATGTCCTGGAGTGACTTCCTCCTCCCCCGAACCTGTACTTGAATGCGAAAGTGAATGTCTCTGGGTGAAAGTAAACTTATGCAAATGAGCGTAAAGCGAGACTCGCATGATTACCATAATTTTTCCCTCCCCCATCCTAGAGAATCATCCAAGAGTTCTCTCAGTCGAAAGAAAAATAAAACTCATTTACCGGGAATAAAAAAAATGTACGTAAAGTATTCCATACAATCGACCTTGCGGCCCATGCTCTCCATTCGGCACGCGCTGATGACTGCTACCTAGGTCATAAATTAAATTACTCAGGTACAGAGGCTCATACGGATTGCAAGTCTCATGAGGAACATCAGTGTATTCTAGCTTTTCTCCACCTATCGTACAGCTGTTTCGAACCCCAAGGCTTCCCATATACTCGAGAATGCAGACACTATATAGTGGCTCCACATACTCGTAAACAATCATCAAGAAAATATTTATTCACATCGAGTCTATGACAGAATTCTTTTTTTCTTCTGCTATCAACTGAAAAATATCGAGGTTTATTTTTCCTCTTTCAGATAAAATCAATTCTGGAGTGAAATACTGAATTATAGGATAAGTGCAGTTTTTTCCAAACCAGTTTTTAGCTCATATCTCGGAAATGGAGGGAAATGGCGGTATTTTTGTAAAAACATTATTTGTGGAAAATAATGAGATCTAGAGAAAAGGTATTTATGAAAATTTCGCTATCTTCCTTCAATTACAAGATATTCGCTGTTAACTAGATGATGTTTTATTTTCGACTGATATATTTTAACATGCGCGATTGGAACAGGAAAAATAATCCGACAAATACCCCTTGTGCTTCAAAATAATATGTACCTCAAACTTTTCAAAGAAATTCTGCTATTTGCGAGGTCAAACCCTCGCGCTTTTTTCCAATCAGCTAATCGGGAAATGGTGGATTATTAGAAGCACTCGCGGGGTATCACTGATTAGTTTTCACCGTGCGACGAGACATGTACGATCGTCATTATAAATCGCGTATCCTCAGGGCTGTAATTAACCTCCCGCCAATGATCAACCTGAACTCGATGGTTCGTTGTTAAGAATCCCAAATTCGAAGGTTGGAGAACGCGACACGCCAAGTCGCGTGTTTTCTACATACAGATGGCAACGACCACAAGATAGCCACCCACCATAGACTGTATAAAATCCCGTTACAATCTACTCTGAGCTCGAGTGATTTCATATGGAGGAAATCACTTAAAGCCCCTGAAATCTCATGATCGATTTCATTTCAATTTTCAGCCATCGATACGTCACGATTTCCGAGGTATTTATGATTTTCCGTGCATTGTAATGTGAATTCAACGAGAGGCAAGAAGAATTTATTGAAATTATTCATTTCTCAATTTTAGAGTCCACTATTCTGTTGTGAAGTGGTAAACTAGGATAGGTGCATTTTTTTCAACGCCAGTTTTTATCCAATACCTCGAAATTCAAGGGAGATAACGATTTTTTTGTTATTACCTTTTTTGTAGCTCTCATCTTTTTCTATAAAAAATGTAGACGCTAAAAAATCGCTATGTTTCTTCAATTCCGAGATTTTGATTAAACATTGGTCTCTAAAAAACAATCGGTTATCCCAGTTCGCCACTTCGCTACGGAATTTATAATTTGCAGACTAAGATGAAAAATAATTGATTAAATGGTGATTTTTCGGATTTTTTATTCTCACCCGTTCATATGACGGACATGGAAATAATTGGAAATAATAGTTCATAATTGACAAATGGAATGCAAAATGAGACTGAATTCAATTCCACGAACAAAGAGTAATTGGTAAAAGAGGCAAATATTTGCGATAGTTGTGGTAATCGATCATGCGGAAATAATAGCATGTAAAGTAGTCAGTGGGTGAGATTAAACCACGAGTTGTTGGTGGTAAAGTGATGGTAAAAATACAGACACAAAACCGCAGGAACATTTAAGTCGGATATCCACTCGGCGGGAAGGTGAAACAAGAAAATGACGAACACCTTTGCCGTGTTGAGGAGAGGTCGGTGTTCGTTACAAGGTGTAATCGACCTAACCGGAAATTGCCATTCTAAGTCTTCGGGGTCTGTAGGACTATTAGAAATATTTCCCAGAATTTTAAAGACCTTCTCAAGACCATTCTTATGCGTCATCCAAAGCGAGAAAATTCCATCACTTTTTTCTTCTTTTTTCTTCAATTCCGTGGAAAATAAGACAGTTATTCTCTGATTGAATTTTTTCTTTTCATCATTCGACAAAACCAACGAATGATCAATAAAATTCATTAACAATAACAATAATAATATAATATAATGATATTATAATATATAATTATAATAATATTATATAATAATATCCCCACGCGATTAAATATTCTTTTTCAGCTTTCCCCGGAGTTAAAAAAAAATGTGTTTCATCAACAATTTTATTTTACAGTCGTCGCTCACCGGTTCCTGGAGTAAAAAAAAACGCATCATAAGATTTACCTCTCACGCACAAATCGTTAAAAATTCGAGCAACGTATATTCATCAATGCAAGTCCCCAGGGGCCAAGAAAGTCTCAGCAAGATGTTAATAATGCCGACGAGGAAGAGTATGTCGGGACTTTCGTATTACATCGTAATGCATGGCTGACCCACATATGACCAACGCCCGTGGTCACTTCCGATGGGCCATCAAGAGTACCAGATAAAAAATAAAGCCAAAATATTTCATCAAATCGATGAACGATCGTTAAATCGAAAAAAAAAAAATACAGTTCTCTCTTTACTCCACCGAAATGACCACCCGATTTGGTTCACCTGTTCGAACATCGCGTCAAGTCTCAAATAAATATAATCAGTGGCGTTTCTCATTCGAAAGTTGCCAATACTTTCGCATTTTTATATCCCTCGAATCCCCCAATCCCCCGCACCCTAGAAATGAAATTCGTGAATTAATTTTAATAACAACTCAACCCTATCTCACCGCTTTTATAACGGATTTCTCTTCCCTTTCGTTTTTATTATATTCATTATATCATAATCATTACAAATGGTAATAGCTGAGTCGGTGTAATTGTAGCTATAATAAAAAAAGCGTCGAAACGAATGCACGTTAAAATTTTCCAAGGGATTCGTTGAATTACGTCACTGACATTTTATCTCAATTGCCAGTAATGCGACATTAAATCAGAGGTTTTTACTGATGCCGAGGGGTAGAGAATATTAACTGATTCATCAGGACAAGTCATGTAATCGCAAAGGGATTGTGATCATAAAATTCATTTCCGCGTTGTTTTTAGTTACATAGAGTGATAATTTCGTTCCATTTCGTTAATGACGCTGTAATATCAGAAGCACGAGGGGAATTAAACAGTGAAAATTGCCATGACTGTGTTATGACAAAATAAGAAAAGAGTTTTCGCAAATTTTCAGCAAAAACCTGACAATTTTGATTTTCAATTGATAACTGAGAGTAAGACTGAGTAAAATCGAGTTGATGTTAATTTTGTGTACATTCTCTATAAGGTTTTATGTAATTTTATCATCATACGTTTGGCAAGTACTTAATATCCTCATATTTATGTGAAAGTGTACATCAATGGTGTAATTGAAGAGTGGGCTGATTGTACGTGCAATTTCGATTATTACTTTGCGGTGGAGTGGTAATAGGTGCGACCAACCGAGTGTTAAATTTTAGCCGATAAAAACTTTAGCCGATAATAAGTTAAAATTCAATAAGACGATGTACCTAGTCCCTCGAAATATAAAAGAGGCGAATGCGCCCATTTGTTTCTCCCTGTTGCTCCAAGTTTCTCAAGGAAGTTCTTACACTTCGTGAGACTTTGGCTCATTAATTAAAACTAAAACTCGTAGCGAAAGCACCGCCAACTTCTCGCTACATTAGTGCGTATGTGGTGTAAAGTTCATTATAATAATCCATAATATACGAGCGAATATTTATATTTTCTATTACCCGCACCTGTCCAAGGGGTATGAGCGAAAAATGGCAAAAATAAAATGGAGATTATCCCAAACAATGCAATACGACAGATGCGCTATTTCCACGGTTATTTCAATAGGTAATAACTGTAACAACATGTTGAAAAAGCGAGAATATACCTGTGGTATTAAAATAATAGTTGCGGTAAATCTTGGCATTTAATGAAGAATTCGTAACAACATCCGGTAATTCCACCTAACACGACGCAAAACACACCAGTTCGCATTCGTAATTGAATGCGAATTGATTATGAGCTTTCATGTTACAGATGTTTGTTCGTGTGATGTAATTTATTGGAATAAACTCAGCTATTCGCTTATATGGAATTTATTCATCCCGCGATTATTTAGCATTAATTGCTGTATTAAAAGCTGAGAGAGCACCGAACGAGTTCTCAAACGAGTTTTATGCTGATGAACAATATTTTTTCATAAATTAACGAGCCTCAGTAGATAAAAACCCGAAAAATTGCCATTTTGCACGAATTTTAAACGGTTTGCCACTTAATTTTTTAAATCGTCACTGCATTCATACGCCTTTGCAGAATTTACTCACTTCCGGAACGAAAAGACTCGCCAGATTTCTCCGTACCAATTAACGCTGTGAAAATATAACGCCCAACATAATCAGTCTAGCGTGTAAGGTTATGTGGATGCCCCTTTTTATTTTCAGTTTACTCTAAATATTTTCATAAATCAATCTTAACAGCCTAGAATTAAATTAATACAGTCATAATGCCGTAATCAACTAATATATTCCAAAAAAAAGATATACAGCTCATTAGAAATTGCCGTGAACCTCATGCATTAGATATTTAGATAATTAAGCCTGGACTGATTA